CCCCGCCTGAGCCTTGCTCCTGGGCACGTCCCACCCAAGCCCGGTCTGCACTAAAACACAGCTTTGGTTTTTTATTCTTATTATTTTTGCATCTTTATTGAGATATTTTTGATGCACAATAAATTGCACATTTATAGTGCGCTATTTGAAAGGTTCTGGCATTTGCACACCCCCGTGAAACCATTACCACAATCAAGACAAATGCATACTCCAGCACCCAGAAGCCTCCGACCCAGCCCCAGGCAGCCTCACTGGGCTGGCACAGATCACAAACGTCCCAACACTACACAACGGAGCCGCACGGTGGCGCTGGCGTGCCAGGCTTGTCAGACTCGGCGGGGCCAAGTCCCTGAGGCCACAGCTCACCCCTCCCCTGCAGACAGACAACATTCGTGCACGTGCCTTTCCCTTCTCCCGGTGAGGACCCAGCAGTGCAGCGGCCAGAGAGAATGTGGGTGTGGTGAGGAAACTGCCAATGGCTGGACGTCTGACAGCCCAAAGCTCCCGTGTCCCCATCCTTTGCATCTGAGCCATTCTGACGGTGTGTCACCAGCATCTCACTGTGCTTTTGATTCCAGACAAACACCCAAAGTTGCTCCCATGTCCCTCCTGGGATGCGCCCAGCACCACCTGTGCCCAGGAGAGGACCTCCTGCTGCACCCTTCCAGCCACCGCAGCCTCCAGGGGGCTCCTGGCACTTCCAGCCCAAGCCCCGTCTGAACTCCCCTGGAGACGGCACCCTCCCACACCCTCTCGGCCCTGGAAAGGCGCCCTGCATGCAAGAAGTATGGGCACTTGCTGAATAAATACATTTTAGAAAGAAATAGGCGCGTGCATGCCTGTTCTTCTCAAAAATACAGAAACTCTGGCATTTACGACTCAGAGCCTCACAAAACAGCCTGAACAAGCAACTAGGTCTATTTGGAACTAGAAGTGTGACTTTGCTCCCAGCAAGTCTCTTAAGGAAACAGGGCATGTCCCCTGCGTTGGTCATTCCTGGGTGAGCGGGTCCTGGGTGTGGCCAGCAGTCCGGGCACTGGGGTCCGAGGGCTGGGACTGGCAGCCTGTGGGCTGGGTCTTTCTAACTGTATAACCTCCTGCATGACAGTGTGGGCTGAGTGCTGGCTGCTTGCAAGGCACTGAGGATAAAAGGGCCTCAAGAGGGTCCCAAAAGCTACTTACACAGAACTTAAGACCAGACAGGTGCGTGCAGCCCCCGCTCGGGAGGGCAGGGACGTGGGGCAGGGCTGGGGGGGACATACTTTTTTAGATAAAATATACATCTGGAGACCACAGTCTGACAGAAGGAAAAACGAGTTCATAACTAGGTCACTAGAGACTGGATAATCACGAGCTTGTCACCTGTTTAGAACGCCTTTCTGACAGTCCTGCCTCCTCTCATTTGGCACCTGATCGCTGAGTTGGGAGCCAGGTTACCTGCCCAGGTGGAGCTGAGGTCACGCCCTGGGGGCTGACTCTAGGGTCCCCCAGCTTTGCTGAGGTACACTTCACATGCATTCAGGTGCTCAGGTCTTACCTGCCGCCCTAACCTTACATCTGTACACACCTGTGTAACCACCGCCCTGGCCCTCTCCTGCCAGCCTCCCCCCCGCGCAACCTCACTCTGCCTGCCACCACCACTGGAGCTGTGTCTGTTCTCGAGTTTCCTGTGATGGAACCAGAGGCTGTGGGGACGTGTGTGAGCTTCTTCCAGCGTAGCTGTTTGGAGAGCCACCTACACAAGTGGACGGGTGGTCCCGGCCTTTCCACTCCTGGGGGTGCTTAGCTGAATAAATACACAGCGGCTTGTATCCACTCGCCCGCGGGCACACATGGGTTGTTGCCACTTTACTCCATCAATGAACAGGCTCCTGGGGACATCCTCAGACAGGCTCTTTGTGGACAAAGGTCCCACCCTGAGTGGGTCGCAGGGGTGGCACTGCAGTCCCAGGGCAGGTGCACGTGGCTGTGCGAGAAAGTGCAGGGTTTCCCCACATGGTTACACCGTGTTACACACCGCCCAGCCAGGCAGGAGAGTCCCGGTGGGCCCACATCACCTCCACCACTTGACACTGTCGACCTTTTAACTTGCGCCCTTGTGTTGGGCGTGTGGTGGGTCCACGTGGTGCTGCTTTGCATTTCTCTGATGGCCAGAACCAAGGAGCACCTGCTTCTGTTCACTGGCCATCTGGAGCTCTCAACAAGTGCTGTTCGTGTCGCGCAGATTTTGAACGAGCTGCCTGCTTACTAGAGTTGTGGCTTTCTTTACCTATTCCGGATTCAAGTCCTCGATCAGGAGTACAAATGGCCCATCTTTTCTCCAAGTCTGCGGCTTCTAAGTAGGGTATCATCTAATGAGCCCGCTTGTAATTTTAAAGTCCAATTTACCAATTTTTTTCTTTATGGTTTGTGCCTGCTTTGTCCTTAGAAACCCCTGCTTGCTCCATGGTCATAAACATTGCTGATGTTTTCACCTAGCTTTCTAGTTGTGGCTACCATTCAGGCCGATGTCCCTCTCCATCGAATCTGTGTGGCGGGAGGGCCAGGTCCACCGCCCGCAGGGCACCATCCCCACCAGCAGCCCTCCTTTTCTTCATTGCGTTGGCGTCGTCAAAACCTGGTGACACACCTTTGGATCTAGTTCCGGACTCCACTTTGTTCACTGGTCACGCGTCACACCGCGCTGGCCTGATCCCCGCAGTGCATCTGGAAAGCTGGGTGTACGAACCCCAGTTCTCTTCTAGGCACCTGGGCTATTCTAAGTGCCCTGCGGGTCACATGAATTTTTGGAATTAGATTGTCAATTTCTATGAAAATCCTGCTGGGGTTCGGGTTGGGACAGACGGGGTCATTTGGGCAGAATGCCACCGCCACAGCACCGAGTCCACTCCGTGCATATTTCTCCACGTAGTCTTCTAATTGCTCTACTTTCTGTGTAAGGATCTTACCTTTCATTCTGTGTGTTCCTAGGTAGTCCGATGACTTGGGGGTATAGTTAACCACCACTGTTCTCACTTTCTAGCTGTTTGTGGCTGGTGATAGTTACATTTGATTAGGACACTGACCCACAACCTTACGGAAGGCACACCTCAGTTTCAGTGATATGTCTGTAGGTTCTTTCAGATTTTCTATGTACACAACCGTGTCACCTTCAATTCTTCCTTCGCCTTCTTCCTTCCCAAATCTTTCGCCTTTTTCTCATCTTTTTGCCTGACTGGACCCACCGCACAATGCGGAATGGAGGTGGTAAGAGCGGCCGTCCCTGTGCTCCTGGCCTGTCCCCGACAGCTGGACTGTATCACTGCCCTCCACCTCACCCCCGAGCCCCTACCAAATCAGACTCAGGACGACCAGTGACGTGCTGTGGAGGGACAGTAAACAGCACTGAAGATCCCATGGGGGAAACACCGGACAAACCTGTGCCTTGAGTCTGTGCTTCTGTCAGCATCCGATCAGGCTTTGGCTGCGACTTTACTCAGCAGGTCACTGGACCCAGTGGGACATGCAGAGAGGCAGAAATTAAATCAATGACACCTGCAGAAATCCAAGTACAAGTGTCCTTCACTGGCTGAACTAACTTATCTGAAGCCAGAAAGGTAGTGAAAACGAGGTATTAGTCATGCTTAAAAAGTACAAGAAAGACCTCATGAATAAATTATGCCGAGGGAAGGCTGGAAATTGTGCTTCTAGGACTTCATGTCAGGCATAAGAATCCGGGTTTATTTTCTTTCATCACCCGCCACCACAGGTGTTAGGGTCCCATTGTGCCCCCACCTCAGAAGAGATGTGGGAGTCTCAACCCCCAGAACCTCAGAATGGAGCCTTATTTGGAGAGAGGGTCTGTACAGAAGTCAAGTTAACATGTGGTCACTGGTTGGGCCCTAATCCAACACAGCTGCTGTCCTACAGAAAGGAGAGGTATAGACACACAGACACACGCGCACAGCGAAAATGCCAAGTAAAGGTGAAGGGGTGATGCTTCCACAAGCCAAGGACCGTCCAACATGCCGGCAAGCCAGCAGAAGCTGGGGTAGGGGCCAGGGGCAGAACTCGCCCTGAGGGCCTTAGAGGGACCCAACCCTGAGATACCTTGCCCTTGGACTTCTGGCCTCCGGAAGTGAGAGATAATAAATGCCTGCCGTTTACGCCCATCTGTGGTACTTAGTTACGGCAGCCCTGGGACCCCTCCACCAGGCACCACAAGGAGAGCAGGGTTTTCCAGTGTGACTTGTAAATAAACCCACATATTGCTAGAGCTCCGTCAAACTAGCTAAAATTAACGTGAAAAGTAGATACCGACTCCAATTACACCAACAACAGGCTCCCGATGGCTCTTGAGAAACTGGACTGCTGTGAACTTAGGCGGCTGAGCCTCTAGGGGAGCCCCGCGGGAGCTGCGCTCCACCCAGGCCACCCTGGGCACTCACTGACGGCGGGCGGGGGATGGGCCACCCAGAGACCACATCTTTCTCTGTCATCGTGGGTCCACACCAGGGATGGGCCATCTAGTCCCCACCCAGGCTTACGGGGTGCAGGTGTGTGTGGACCCCCAGGGCCTTACCTGGCCTCTCCCAGAGGTGCCCCAGCTCATCGGCACGTACAGAAGCCCCGGCATCCACATAGCACAGGTCGGTCCGTCTGTGTCCGAGGTGGGGTGGCCCCAGCCACAGGGAGCAGCCGGTGGCCCAGACTGAGTGCACGCTGCCTGCAGCCCCAGCCTCACCACAGCAGGCCTGGCTCTGCGGAGAGCATGTCCTGTCCTTGGAGGTGAGGTGGGTTTTAGACACTGACTCTAACCAGCGGCTCCTACATAAACACCTCGGCAGAACGAGAGCCGAGTCTCTGGCAGCAGAATCTAAAACTGAAAAACTGGGAAAAACAGGCAAAACAAATACAGATAAATTTGTTTTTAATAAAGGAGTTAATTTTCTTTCAACCCTATATAAAACAATAGCAATTAAAAACTTCATTTTTGAAAGTAAAATATTTACATATGAACAAGTAACTGTGCAAAATTTACATGAAAAAATGGAAAGACAGGGATTTCCTAAAAGACAAAAGAAAAGGCGTAACAGTTCTCAGGTGTTGATAAAAATACTGGTCAGCATTCAGTTCGCACGCGCGCGAATCAAAGTCTAACGTGAAGGTCCACACGGGGGAGCCAAAGTATTTACAATCATAAAAGTACTATCAATAGACAATTTAATACAATAACCTCTGAAAATATAAAGAACCAATTAGTATATTTGTAATAAAAAAATAGGTACAAAGAAGGGGCTTTGCTCTGGACATCTGTAAAGGTGGCCCACAGCTCGCACAGTCTCTTAGCAAAATAATTATAGTTTACGTAGCCATTTTTATGTTATGTGCCAAAAATTATGTACAATTACCGACAAAATACACCAACCATTTTTCAACACTTGATTCACACTGAGAAACATTCTTTTGATGATTCTTCTCAATTTTGATTTTATTTCATCTAAGCTTTCACTTTTAGCTAAAAAACACAGTGCAAGTAAAATATATTTATGCTGAAAAGGTTTTCATTTCTTTTAACTTTACAGCTTTACAAACTCTAGCAAATAAAATGCGTTTGTACAGATGCTGACCACACATTCAGAGGGGCCGCCAGCACTGGGCTCCACTAACCAGGAACAGTGACTGAACTCCGAGGAGGGGCGTTGCCATGAATTGTGTGTTCCTCGAGAATTCTGAGCGGAGGGGAAGGAGGGGAGAAAGATAAATAGTCTAAAACATCAGTTTGCTTTGCCAACTGACTAATATAAAAATAAAATAAGTGAAATGAGGTCATTGGCTGCAGACACACACCTATGTAGTAAGTGGGGTTGAACTAAACCAAATGCACAAGTAATGTAAAGACCGCTACGAGGTGACAGAGGGCGGCTAATTATTTGCTAAACGATTCCGTCAGTTTTTATATATGGCTTGTTTGGCAAGAAGGCCACTCAATCAAAGATGAGTTAGGATTTAACTGTCCTTTAAGAGTGTCCACGGGCTTCTGAATTCTGTTACAGAAACGTGTTTTCTTCCGCACTGAAGAGCTGACTTAGAAACAGGAATATAAAACTGTTCCATTGCAAAGAGGTGGCTGTTTTTTAAACAATATCCCATTTGCTTGTTACAAAAAGGCGTAATCTGCAAATATATAAAAACGTCCCCAGGCGTCTCCCTCCGAGATGCCGACCGTCCTGTGCTACTTAAGGAACGCTTTGTAGAGCAACAGTGAATGGCTTGTCTCGCGTTCATTTTCTAAACAAAATATGAGGTCCCTGAGGTTGACCCGCGTGATCCTTTGTCGCGTGAACTGTCTGGGGGTTCCGACGCCGGAGCTGCCTGGGACCGCTGAGCCCGGGCCCGACCCCTGGTGATGAGAAAGGAGAAGACAGACGAGTTAGTGGCGCACAGGGGTGGGCAGGACCCACGGCGCTGGAAGGAAGGGGCAGAGCCAGCAGCTGGCTGCATGACGGCACGCCTTGGGGCAACTCGAGTCTCCCCTACAGTGTCCTAAGGAACCCCGTCTGGAGGAAGCCAGACTTGGGATGGGCTCGCTCCCGGAGGCCTATGCCTTGAGCTGAAGTGCTTTACAAGTCCCTAACGGGGAAGGGTGAAAGCAGGGGCACGGACCCCACGGCGAACTCCAGGACTAGTGCTCTCAGGCACACACCAGAACACCAATCCTCGCAATTCCCCAGAGCTCAGGCTCCAGCCCCTGCACAGAGGAAGGAAGGGGGGGCTCCTGCCCCAAAGGGGTGGCATAATGGCTCCCGGGCTTGGAGCCGGTGTCCCCACCTCCACATGTCCAGGGGCTGAGGCGAGGCCCATGCACACCCAGGGCCAGCTATGTCATCCCCATTTCGCTGACAAAGGCACATTCCCAATGGCGCAAGGTCTAACTTCCTGGACAGGGCAGGCTGGTGGTCAGCTGGTTGGGCCGCAGCACTCCGTGGTCACCACGGTTATCCATGGCCCAGGGGGACTCCCTGCTGGCCTGAGCCAAAGCACTGCTGTCTCCGGCTGAGCGCAGCAGCTGGGCTCAGGGCCTGCACGGCTCGGGCACCCGCTCGGTCGGTCCCCTGGGGGACCGGCCATCGTGGCAGAGTCTCTGATGCCTGCCGGCTCATGAAGACAGAGTTTCAGAGTGGTCTTCCTGGAGGCATCTCGTCGTGTCCTTCGCAGCAGCATCCTGTGGTCTCAGCAGGTCACCACCTCCATTGGACACTCCGGGGTCCAAACCGCACAGCTCCCAACTGGACGGCTCTTGTGTTTTGTTCGGAGTAAAAACTAAGTGTCTGTGTTCTGATGGTTAAAGTTGCTCATGTGTATTTCAAGTGCAAAAATCACAGTGGTAATTTTTACGCATTTCTCAAGGTTTAAGAAGGTGGGAGGAGCCACGGCGCTGAGAGCGGCCAGCAGGTGGCAGGCGAGGCCAGACCACTAGCCTCCACCTGAGCCCCTTCGCCTGACTCTCTCGTCCCCCCCCTCGCCCCCCCGCCAGCCACTCGTCCACCGAGTCGCCTCTCCCACAGATTACATTTTCTGTGCACCCCCTCTGGCCCCCTAGCCGCCTCTGGGCCGGCCTCCATGGCCGTCCGACGCCTACTTTTCCTTGTTTGAAAGAACTACTTGGCCTTTCTCAGCGGTTCTCCCTGAATCTCCGAAACAGCCCTAAAAGAGCATCTTGTATAGGATACAAACTGCACCCCTAAAAAGGCTATGATGAAAATAAGTGCTTTAGAGGAGGAAACGGACCCAGCCCCACAGCCCAGCCCCACGGAAGGGCTGGCATCTATCCCAGAGGCCTGCGGATCTGGACCTAGACCCTGGACCCCAGGGAAGTCTGGCAGGCAGGCGAAGAGGCCAGTTTCTGGAAGGAAAGTGGGGAGGCCCACAGATGGTGGCTTGATGCCTCCCTCCACTACAGACACAGCCACCCTGACCTTGGAGCTCAGAGAAAGAACAAAGGCACTACCTAAGTGACAGACCCAATATCTCTGCCACTCACTATCAATTCTGGACTGTATTTGATGTTTCTACTTTCAAAATAGTTCAACGGCCTGAAATCAGCTGGGACAAGGGAGAGGCACGCAGTTTAAAGGGTGGTAAAGGTCAGAAATCAAGATAAACAGTATTTTCTAACAACAAAACAGATGAACAAATAAAACAGACTCACAGACACAGAACAAACTGGTGATTCCCAGTGGGGGATGGGGTGGATGAAATAGGTGAAGGGGTTTAGGGGTGCAAACTTCCAGTTCTGCAGTCAATCAGTCACGGGGGTGGCGACAGCATAGACAACAGTCAGTGACGCCGCAATGACTGCATGGTGACAGGAGGTGACTAGGCTTACTGTGGTGATCCTTTCACAGTGTATATAGCTATCACACCACTGTGTTGTACGCCTAATATAGTGAGTTGATTAAACTTCGATCAAAACAAATATTTTAACGCAACATTTTTTAGAAATCAAAACTGGTGCCGAAAAATCCTGATGTGCAAGAGTCCACAGGGCAGGCGAGGGCGGCCGGCGCCTCCCGGCCAGGGCAGCGTCAGCCAGCTCCTTCCCTCGGAGCATCTCAAGGTCAACGGCAAGGCCACGTGTCCAGAAGAAACCAGTACTTCTCATGGCTCTCCGGACTTATAAAAAAGCCTATGCTCAAAGATTTCCTACTCGATGCTCAAATTCCTTCTCATTATGTAGGGTAAGTGCTGTTTTCTTCATTTCTCCCCAAAAGAGGGCACATGCCCCCTGACTTCCCTCCAGGGTCTCCGGTATTACGGCTCGGTGGGGTTTTGGCTCTGAGCCTGCGGGGCGGGGAACCTGGTCTAGTTTCAGAGCCCCATGGGGGAATATGAGACAGAAGCCTGGGCCGGGGTGGCAGTAAGCTCTGCCCTCTGCAGCCAAATGACCCCGGCAGTGACCCAGGACAACAAGCAGCTCAGCGGGCAACACAGACAGCAGCCCTGGGGGACTCCAGTTTAACATGCCCACTGCGTCAAGGGGACGGTTCTGTTCCGTGCTGTCTCCGCAGGCCATGGGGTTGCTGCAAAGTGACCCTACACGTGTCCTGCACACTGTCCCCAGCACTAGTGTCCTCCTCTGAAGAGGGCGCTGCGAGTACTCGTGTGCTCTCACAGGGCTGCCAATAGGATGACTGAAAGGGAGCTGCTTCCTCCGAAGGCAGTCTTTCCAGTGTTAGTGTGATGGCCAACAATATATAAATGGAAGAAATCGCCTTCCATCCAAACCCAGCTGCCCGCAGGGCCCATGGTGTGCAGAGCGAGGCACCATCAGGTACACGGGGGAACCTCCTGCGCGTGCCCACTTCCCATGGGGCCACCAAAGTGGCTGAGGATGTCCCCCGGGGCCACCGCAGGCCATGGAGCCCGTGGCTCCACCTCCGAGCCCCAGAAGCCCCACCCACATGCTGAGAGCACCACACCCGCCAGCGGCCCAGGGCAAAGGGCTCACAGGTGAGAGGCGCCTGAGCTGCTCTGGCATCCAGGGTTCACCTTGGGTCATAGTGCCAGCGGCCCAACAGCGAAGCAGCACAGGCTCCGACTGGCTCGCCTGACAGCCCCCCCGCCGCCCACAACATCATGGTCCCCTAAGTGGTCTATACCCCATCTCTATGTCCTCATTAGCATGAAACGGTACACACACCAGGACAGGCAATCAGAGGACCCTTCTAAGAGCAGCACAGACGCTGTGCTGCGACACAGACACTCAGGTAATCAGCTTGAGAGGATGACCAACGCTCACAGAAGGTGAAGACACCGTGGTTGGCGGGTTACCCCAGGATCTACCACCATCTCCCCAAAACAATGCAGAACAAGAGGGATGTGCAAACCCGCACCAACAGGACTCTGCCAGTATCCTGTGAGCTCGGGGATGCGCAAGCCTCAACAGGACCCCAAGGGAGACAAGAATCAGTGTCCCCAGTGGGGTCTCACTGCACCTCAGGCCACCTGGCAAAGACAGAGGAGGGAGACAGCAGGGCTATGGTCCTGAAACCACGGCCAGAAAGGCGGGGCCCAACCCACGGGCCCACCCCATGTGCCCACCCTAAAACGGGTCCTGGCACCCAGAGCACAGGGTGGCGCGTGTTAAATACAGGAGACTGAAAGGGAGGCCTAAAAGAACCTCACATCAGAGGACACGTGACCCCTCCCTACAACCAAAACAAACAAAAAACCTGCCAAGTAGGGCAGGCTATGCGATGCTGTCAGAAGAGGGCGCCACCAGACCATGACTCTAGTGAAATGAACAAGAGATTAGCAAATCCATCAAGAACCACTGCAACAATCAGAAAATGAAATTCCACATGTATCAGAGACAAACTCAGCCTGGAAAAACGGAAACTTACACGACACTTTCAACAGCAAAAATATACTTAAGCATTTGAGAATCTGAAAATCACCTTGAATCGAAATCTCAAAAATTAGACAGAAATGGATTTAAAAACAGAAAGAAATGACTGTTACTGCAAGAAATAAATGGAAAGACAAAATTACCTAAGAAATTAACTAATTAATTGCAAGGTGCCTAGGGGAGAACAGACTAGAATGAAAAAATAGCGAGAGGCACTGATGAAAGGCAGAAAAACGGGGAACAAGGTGAGGTGAGAACTAAAAAGGTCGGGGAGCAAAGACCTGGGAGAAATGGAAGCCAAGCAAAGAAGAATTCACATTATATCGTCAGAATCCCTGAAGAAGAAAACAAACAATGGCTCAGAACTGATACTTAAAAACTATAACCCAAGAAAACTTTCTAGGAAAAGAAAACAAGAATGTATACACTGAAAGGGCCCAGTGAGTACCAGGGAAAATTAACCCATAAAACTCAACTCTGACCTATCCTCATAAAATGAGCAGTCTTCAAAGATGCAGATCAATAAATTATAAAGGCAGGAGAATTAACCTGGCATCAGCCTTCTCAAAACCAGCCTACAAAGCCATGCAGCCACGGAACGGCATTAGAAGAACCACTCAAAGAAAGCATGAACCAAGGATTTTACATCAGCCAAACGTCCAAACAGGGCCAAAGAAAACCTGTTTCCAACATACGAATGGGGCTGTGTGCCCGCAGCCATCGTGAGGACTCCGCCACAGGCTGGGCGCTATCCAGCGAGAGACAATGGGGCAACTGCAGCAAAGAGACGGACAGAAATCAGCATTTATAATCTGCATCTAACACCATGCGAACGTGAGGAAAAGCTGGAGGACTAATGACACAGGTCCTGGGCTGTGACAAAGTGGAGCTAATGAGACAAAGAGAAGGGAGAGGGAAAGGCGCACAGGACAAGCTCACGGCTGTATCGCCAACAGGCTCGCCAACAGGCGGGGCTGAGGCGGAGAAAAGTG